TCAAAACTTCTCCCAATTTAAGTTACTTAAGAAATGAAAAACAATTTCTACTTGATTATAGCTATTTAAAAACTGTACATTTAATCAGAAACAGCTAAAATTGTAACTCTGGTTGTTACCTAAAATCTCAACTAAAATTGTTGCCACCATTTATAAAAAGTTCAAGATAGAAGCTAATTCATGTTTTCTGATTTCTATGTCTATCAAGGGGATCAATTGAATCAATTGCTATGTCTGCTGCTAGGAAGGTCAATTCACTATACCCTGCTAGATAATTTTTTCTTGATAGAATGTAACTAGTATATTTACAAGTATACTCTTTGTCTGTCCATAGAATGTTGCTACCACATTTGGTTTAGTGCTTCTGTTTTATATCTAGAGATTCTTGATGAAATTTGCAATGTTGTGGATCACAGCCTGGCATATTGGCTTCAGTAACTTTCCCACTGCCATAATGTAGCTTCCCTGTGTCAATGTAATTGTCATGAGCTTTTCAATTTGATATCTCAACTTCACAAATTTAAGTGCTGTACTAGATTAGTAGCTAGGTCTCATCGTTTTACTCAACTGTTGAAATTGCTAGTTGTAACCATATGTTCTATTCTATTAGTTGTTTCCACCTCATTTCTTAATTGTGGAACACTCTTCTGGCTTCTTACTTTGCTTTCAACTACGAACTTCAACAATTTAAATCCTATGTAAAATGGCATCTTGTGCCTCCGAGTATCCTGTTCATTTATTGCTCCTCTTTTTTACTTTCACTCTCAGTAACCCACCTTGCTTAGGGTGAAATGATGAAAAATATATATGTGTGTGTATGTATGTATGTATGTGGTGACTCTCAACTCGCAATATTTGTTTATTTATATATTTTAAAAATATTATAGCATTCATTAGTTTTTTAAAAATAAAATGTTGGGAGGTCAATTGATAAAAATCGCCTGAGGATATCATAATGGTGAAACGAAGGTAGCGGACTCAACTGATCTCCTAATTTTTTAAGTTAAAAGCTCTACATGTTATTTTTATATTTTTATTTCATTTTTTTTTTTCACATGTGTATTGAGCACTTTTTAATACTAGTTTCCTGGTTTGATTCCACTCTGACCATTAACCTTCTACACACACACACACACACATATATATATATATATATATATATATATATATATATATATATATATTAGCCAAAGGTTTGTGGCTACCCTCTGGATTTAATAATTAATAAGTTTCATATCTTCTTTGGTTTAATTAACTTCTACTAAGCTAGATTACTGGAACTATTTAACCCGTTAGTGCATGGCTACCAATTATTTAGAGAAGGGGGTACCTAAAATTGAAAATCTGCCAGAGCTAAAGTTGTAAGGAAATATATGAAGCCTTTCGGGAAGAGAAAGTCTATCTGAATTGAAGTGAGTTTTGAAAAAGCATACAAACTGGCTTATAGTTTGGGCATATATATATATATATATATATATATATATATATATTCTTGTGAAATACAATTCTTTTTCTGGTGATGACAGTTTATTGAGGAAACCTGTCAAAGTAGAAATTATCTTATTTGTAAGTTTGATTAAGGACTAATGAAAATTCTTCAATATTTCTTTCAAGGGTTTCAACCATTTTCCCCTTTTTCTAGAGAGAATGTAAAAATAAACTGTTCAATGTTTTCTCAACAATTTCGTCTTTGAGAAACCATCATCTAAGTATTTTTATGGGTTTGTCTCTATAGGGTGTGTTTCTTTGGTTTTTCAAGTGTCATCTCTTCACACATTGGTAGTTGTCATGTTGGTTTTTTTTTCATTGGTGGTTGTCATGTTGTTTTTTTTTTTTCTAATTATCAAGTTTTCATGCATCTGCTTGTGGTTTTGTGGCCTCTTATGAAATATATTCAGGATGTTTGTTCCAAAATATGTCTTCTTATATAATAGGAATCAAATTATAGAAAAGGAATCTTAATGAAATTTTGATTCAGTTTAGAAGTGCAACAGGAATTATGATGCAATTCTATCATATTTTTGAACTTTTTAATGTTTGTATTTTATTTCAATAATTTCACCCCAAGCAAGGCAAAAAAACCATTAAGACTCAAGGGGTTACTAAGTGTGAAAGAATATGAAAAAAGGAAAAACATTATTAAGGAGAGAGACTAATAAAAGAATAGGAATTAACATCCCAATAAGCTGCAAGAGAGTTCCACAAGTGAGAAGTGTGAGAGAAGAAACTGTTAGCATGGAACTTGTGGTTACATCTAGCAATTTCAACAATGAAATGATGACATCTTGCCACCAATCTAGTATTCTGCTTAAATTCATAAGTTTAGGTAACAAAGAGGAAAGCTTATCAGAACAATTACCATGAAAATATTTTTTGAAAAAAGTGTAAACAAGTTAAATTACAGGTTTGGGAAAGCAATTGAAGGTGAGATGCCAAGTCATGACTGATAACACTGTAGTTTCTTCTTTGGATTTTTTTCAAGAATATCTAAATGCATATCAAAAGCCCCACACCAGAAGTTGTAGCAATATCCAATGTGTGGATGAAGATAAGTTCTGGCAAAAAAAAAAATATTGTTGAATATAACCTAGTGAACCAAATTTTTTAGCAATGGATTTAATATAATCTTTTCTCTTCATGTCATTGGAAAATGTTAGCCCCAAAAGGTATAATGAGTCACTCTTTTGGAGGTTAGCATCAGCCATACTGATAGAAGACAAGAAAGTATAAGTGTTTTGCTTTGGTTTTTTGGTTTTTTTTACAGAAAAACACAAGCTAGTTACTTTATCCTGAATTTTTTTATAACTGGCAGCAACAATTTTAGTTGAGATTTTAAGTAACAACTAGGGTTACAATTTTAGCTGTTTCTGATCCCAATGTACAGTTTTTATATAATTATTATCAAGTAAAAAATGATTTTTCACTTGTTAAGTAACTTGATGCAACAGAGATGTGGTTCTACCAATAAATGCTAAGACTACCATGGACAGAGCATGTGAGCAATGAGGAAGTCTCAGGCGAAAATAGGAAAAATAATTAAACTCATTCTTGCATTCATAAACAGATGAAATTTCTGGGACACAAAATGGGGAAAAAAGGTTTACACAATTTAGCACTCACAGGCCTTAGAGTAAGAGAAGCAGAAGGAAACAGCTTGTAATTTATTTCAAAAGTGTGTAAATGGATTGCAGAACAGGAACAAAGAGAGATTATAAGAGAAGTTGTGGAGAGCCATAATCACCTCCATCCTGAAGTGACTTGGCATATAAAAGAAGATTTTAGTGTTATATATATGTCTATGTTTTATACAATAGCATTCTATCTTTCAGTATAAAATCTTGCAAATTATGGATGAAATATACCTTTATATGCTGTGTCCCTTCAGGATACAGATGATTATGACTCTCCACGACTTTCTGTCTTTTGTAGCTCTTAGTAAGATTTGTCTTTTTTGCTATATAGCCTCCCAGTATTTGTTCTGCTATTTACATAAGATCATTATTTTAGTGACTTGTTATATTTTCCTCTGTCCTTCTTGCCTTCAGTATGTCCTGGTAGTGTCAAATTATCCAGATCTTCTTTTCTTAATATGAGTCCCAGAAATCTCAATACTCTCTGATTCTAAGTATAAGCATGTGTTTTGTTTCCATTTCCCTTAAAATTCCCTATTCTGCCAAATATTTACCTAAGCATGTTAAGTAGGTAGGGCGGTTATTTGCTGGCTATTTCAAGGTTTTTGGGGTTTTTTTAAAGACAGTATATACTTTTACTGGATGATAAATGTTGCTTTAATTCAAATAATTAAGCAAAAAAAAAAAATTTAGAAAAGGAAAAAAAAATATTGATTTTTATATGAAGCACTCTTAATTTATAAACCAAAACATCTATTCCAAACTGAAATGATGAGTAAAAATAAAAAATAATAATAATAAAATAATCTGGTTAGGAACTAAAGGTGATATCTTTGAGGAGCTCTAAACAATTCTCTTTTGAAACATTTGTTGGAATTTATTTTTTTCTCATTATAACTCACTTTATTTTTTATTATAATAATAAATAGTAGTGACAAGTTCAATGAATTCATTGGATCCAAATATTGACTCTCTTTTTCAATCTGATAAACAAGAGCAGTAAAGCTATTTCTCAACATAGAGCATGGCTATCTTGTAAACCATTCCTAATATTCTAAGTTTTAGGTTCATTGTCTTCTTCACACTATTGAAATTTTTTCTTCCTTCCTTTCTTTGTTTTTCACTTAAAGAGTGTATGACAAGGGGACATAATTTATATAAATGCTAAGGGAGATAATCATTGCAGTTATTTTTAGAAAGTGAATATAACAATCAATATAAGAATACTGGTTTAAATAGAAAGGCATATAATAGACTCTAAGTCAACCTTTGAATCCCTCAATCTACCTTTGTGTGATCCAGGGTAATCTCCAGAAAATGAAATTTTATTTTTCTAACATATTTCCTGCTAAATTTAAGGTGTGTCTTATATCTTACAAAATGGTAAGTCATAACAACACATGAGAAAAATATTTCAACAATTGATTTTACAAAAAGAAACTTTTTTTTTCTTTTTTTTTTTAACAAAACTTTATTTTCTGATATGACTTTATTTAAAACAATTTTCTGATATGACTTTATTTAAAACAATTTTCTGGTATGACTTTATTTAAAACAATTTTCTGATATGACTTTATTTAAAACAATTTTCTGATATGACTTTATTTAAAACAATTTTCTGATATGACTTTATTTAAAACAATTTTCTGATATGACTTTATTTAAAACAATTTTCTGATATGACTTTATTTAAAACAATTTTCTGATATGACTTTATTTAAAACAATTTTCTGATATGACTTGATTTTCTTGTTACTTTGGTGTATAACTTTATTTATTTTTTGTTCCTCTTTCTTTCAGCGTTACCTTGAAAATTGCAATGTCAGTTCCTGCTCTAATGAATTACTGTCACTGGATGCAGATGTCCATATGCGTTATAAACTGTCAGCATCAATGGCACTCTTCACTGCACTTGAATATGCCTCAGATGCAATAGAAATTGTCAATGCCGATCATGAAATACAGGTAAGTTAATTTGACCTTTGAAATAAAAATACCTGACAGCACATACATAATATCTGTAAATGTTTTGTGTTATCATTAAATCATTAATAGCAAGCAAAAATTTGTAGCAAGATTGCAAACTTCTCTCTAAGTTGTTGATGGCTGTGTTAGCACAAAGTCACATGTCATTATGACTGAGGGTTTGAGTGTGCTAGCTTTGTTAAAAAAAAAAAAATTGATTACACTAGATTATGCACTCTCTCCCAGAAAATGTAACTAAGTTCTGCTAAGTATAGTTTCAGTATAAACCATAGGTGGGCTATGTGGGTTGAGCAGGTGACTGTAACAAGAATTTGCTGACTGCCCTGGCAGACAGATATGCTTGTGTGCTGTCTAGTATAAAAAAATGTCTTGAAATTTGTTCCACTAATGTAACAATGGATATTAAAAGGTTAAGCTTGCTTAGAATTTTCATTTAGAATTGTTTATATACAGAGTATGCCAAAAAAAAAAATGTATAAATACCTCAGGAAAGGAAAAATGTTTTAATACTAAATTTTATTCAGACATAACAAGATTAATACAACTTTGGACCCTACAATCACAAGAGATGCTCAAAATGGTGGCCATTAGCTTCCAGACATTTATTAGAACAGTGAACTACTGCTTGGGCAACATTGGCACATGCTTTTCCAGTTTCTTGTCTAATGTCCACCAATGTAGTTAGTTTTCTGTGACAGACAACATCCTTTTAGGTAAAGTCTGCAATTTTGGGGGAATTTCCATAAAGGTCATGTATGGCATGTGCACATTGTGTGGCAGACTTCTGTGTTGAATGTGTGAACTATTCCACACCATAGCCAAGGAAGCAGCACTTGTTGCTGTATGAGGTCTGCTGGATTTTCCTTTATGCATATCCCACATAGTACCATGTGTTTCAAACTTATCACAAATCCATGAAACATATTGGAGGTTGTTCCAAACTCACAGATTTGTTGTCTTTCAACTTCAACAACATTCTCAAATTTCAAATATCTTTAAAAATAATCTTATGTTCCTCAAACGACAAACATATGTCCATCATGTTTCAGACAGCACTTGTTGATACTAGAGTCATGAGGGTAACGCCATCTGTCGAAAAAATATTGTACCACAGTAAACCGTGTTATCATAATTTCATAAAATGGCAAAAAACAAATTTTTCTTTGCCTGAAGTGTGTATACCATATGAGGGTCTTGTAGCCTCTTAAAACAGTGAGGCTGCCCGCGCATATAATTTAATTATAGTGGTTGTTGTAAATCTTGGTAACTTGAAGCGAATCCAAGCCTCATTCAACTAATTGTCAAGTACAAACCCTAGAATCACTGACCCAGTGACTATTTATAGGAAGGAGGGGTGAATGCTAACCCACATGATATTTAAATAATTTCGACAGTAGCTTTGTGTGTATGTATATATTCATGAATCATTCATACAAAAAACAAATATAGAGATTAATGATTTAAATGGCGAGAATACATCTTCGCAAACAATATAAATAAGATACATCAACCCCAAACATGTATGTGAATGATATGATCCCCTGTTCATAAATTCCAGTTGCATAAGGTCTTTTAATTTTTTTTAGCTTTCGTCTGTTCCTACAGACATCCTCAGGTATGGAAATAGATTTTTTCTTCTTGTTTTTACTTCTCAGTAATAAGAGGACAAGGAAAATAGAGATGTAATCCGAAAAAAAATGCTATGAAAATGTGTTATTGTTTTGGAACGATGGTCATAACGCTGAGATTGAATTTAAAAGTTTAAGGTTGTGCATTTTTGTACAAAAGAGAATTCTTTTTTACTGGTAGATTTTCCGTCTATGTGGCATGAACTATATTGTTCAATAATTACAGTAATGTCACACTTATTATCCGTAATTCTTGCCATTTAAATCATTAACCTCTATATTTGTTTTTTGTATGAATGATTCATGAATTTATAAATTATAATTTGCACCTTTAATTGAAATTTATATATATATATATATATATATATATATATATATCTTGATATGCCTTTAACCAATTGGGCCACAGAGGAGCATTCAGTTAGCAAGGTCAATTTTACTGTTTTTAAACTACAATTTTCCATGATTTTCTCATGTACACTCATATCTGCTCAATGCATATCTAAATATAAACAAATGATGTCACACATTATGAAATGGACAAAGTTCGACAATTATTTTAAAACATTTTTATGTTTATACATTCTTTTTATAGATACAAATATTTAAGTAAATGCTCTGTTTATAATAAACAGTATTAAACAGCATTTACCATCCTGAATGTCTGAGAAATTTTCATACAAAATATTCGTTTTTCGACAGGAATCTAACCTGTATCCTATATGGAACCATCATATAGCTTGACGTGCCTTTAACTGATTGGGCCACAGAGGAGCGTTTCGGTTAGCAAAGTCGATTTTACTGTTTTTGAACTACAATTTTCCATGATTTTCTCACATACATTCATATCTGTTCAATGCGTATCCAAATGTAAACAAATTAGGAGGACAAATATTTTCGCACCGAGCAGATATGAATGTACATGAGAAAATCATAGAAAATTGTAGTTTCAAAACATATATATATATATATATATATATATATATATAAAATCATGTGTCATAATTTTGTTTTTATAAAATGTTCACCCAATACAAGGCTCAAAAGCCACTCAAAGTAGAGGGTTACTGTTACATGGAAATAAGAGCAGGAAGTAAGTGCAGATTATGTGGATATGTAGCATAAATAATGGCTGACCCTAGACTTGAAGAGTGTGATCAAGGAAGCATCCTCTTGGGAGTATGTTCCACAAAGTAGCCATTCTTGGGAAGAAGCTGTCTGAATGGAACTTCCTTCTTTTCAATGCAATATGAAGAAAATGATGACGATTCAACTCTGTGTATGTGGCATGCTGTGGCCTAGCTGTAAAGGTCTGAACTGGTGGAACTGAATAGTGTAGCATGTTTGAACCTTTTTTGTGGAAATATTCTTGAACTCTGTTAAGGCTGGACAGTGAGCATTGGACAACTCCAGTCCAGATTTAATGCAAAAAATGTTTTAGTCATGTATTAAAGGAAATTTTTTTGTAAAAACAAAATAAGACAGGTTAAATATTCAACACAGAATAATTGTCCCATTCTATTCTCATCAGTAATTGTCATTAATCATTCTACTAATTCTTTGCTATTTCTTTTTACTTTTTAAGACCAACACTTGTAACAGAAGAGTGTCATTTTGCGTGTTTGTTTTTTATGCTGTTTTTCTGTTTTCATTTCAGTACATCAATCGTGCTTATGAGCGCCTTTCTGGCTATGCCACCGATGAAATACTTGGGAAAAATGCCAAAGAATTTCCGAGGAGTGAAAAAGTTAAACCAGAACATATGGATATTATTAACAATCACCTTGTGAAAGACAAAGTAAGTCTTATTTGGTCTTTGTGTTTTTAAGCTGAAGATCAGAACTGTCAAAGAACACATTTTTATATTCCTTATCTTTTATGTATCTCCAAGTGGTTCCTGGAAAGTTCTTGGCCTACCTAAGCTATTTTCCAAAATCTGACCAAATGATCAAACATTGTATCCTTTTTGGAAGCACTTCTTGCTTTGTCTATGATCTCCTCAGAAAACCCTTGTAAATTGATAGTTTCATGCTTGAAGCTCCAAAACAAGAATTTTTCCCTCAGATTGCATATAAAATGATAACCATAATCATGGATTTAAAAAAAAAATAAATTTCACCCAATGCAATGCTCGAGAGTCACTCAAGGTAGAGGATTACAGTTGCAATGGTAATGATGGATGAAATATGTGATATGAATGGAAGAGGTGGTAGGAGTAAATAAAGATTATGGGGATTAGGAAGGTTAACAATTGATCCTTGACTTGAAGCAGTCAAGATTGAGGTGTCCAAGGAAGCACCCAGTTCTTGGTAAAAAGCTGTCCCAGTGGAACTTTGTTCTTAGTTTTGGAACACAGAGGAAATAAAGGTGATTTGACTCCACAGAAATAGCATGGCATGTGTTTATTTAAAAATCTGAATTGGTGGAACTAAAAAATGGTGCTCACCTGAATATTTTTTGTGGAAATAATGACAGAGCATCAACAGACTTGTGATGTTGCAACTGTGGGAAAGAGTTTACAGAGCAGAAAATCTCTCTCTCGCCCCCCCCACACACCAAATACACAAAACTTTGTAAACAATTTTGAACTCTATGAAGGCTGGATTGAACATCCCCAGCCCAGATATAGCAGCCTTACTCTATTTTCGACTTAATCTGATTCTTGTAAAGATAAAGCATTGGAAGTGGGTGTGAAATACTTTCTGGAGTAATAGAATGTCAGATGATTTTTCCAACATATTTACCAATAGATGAAGGTCTGGAGTGATAGAATAAGCCAGACCATTTCTCCAACATATTTAGCAATAGATGAAGGTCTGGAGTGATCTTGAGACCCAAAAGACATTCAAAGCATGAATCATCATTAAGAGTAAAAGTATTCATGATGGCGGAGAAAAACTCAGGGTCTTTATGGTGATACTGAAATGATAGTCACAGGTTAATTTTCAAATAAATGCCTTTTAGAAAAGCATCAATTTGTGTCTTCTCCCACCACTATAGGTCAAATGGATGGGTACACTGGGCTCTCTAGCCTTGAGTGGCAGTCTGTCTAGGAGAAAGATAAACTGTGGAGAAAGCAATGGAAAAATCAATCTAATGTATTTGCCAAGAATGCATGAGAGTTTACAAATAATAAAGAAGAATCTGTGAAGATTCATAATGTCCTGAAGAGACATAACATATATATATATATATATATATATATATATATATATAAAAGTGGACACTAAAGTCAACACCCAGAGGTCTGTTTCATGCCATAACCTGATGCTTGTGTTTAGCATGAAACAGATTGTTGTCTCTTGATGTGGCCTCCATGTCCAGTTTTATATTTACATACATTCTATCCCTGATATTGAACACTTTAACCCATAAATATTGCATACCTTAAAACTATATTTTTTATTATTTATTTATATTCTTATTCTTGAGGCACTTTTCATTCATTTTTTTTTCCAATTTTAAGGTTTTTTTAAAATTTTTATATTTAATTTCAAATATAATTTTTTGTTGTGGATGGTTATTAGTTAATATAAATTTAATTTGATATATGTTAATTTGGATGTATTCATCGTATGATATTTATATTCCCCCACCTTTTATATTAATTTTTTTTATATTTCCCTTAATATTCTTTTCTGATATATTTGTTAATTTAATCCTCTTTAATTCTGAATTATCTCTCTTTCATATTTTTGGGTTTATCTCTTATTATTTTATATAATATTTGTTTTTATTTTCTACTGGGTATATTAAATAGGTCATCTCTTTTTCTCCTTTCTTTCTCTTTTTCTCTTCATTACTCCTCTGACCACCACTCATATCAAGACTTACATCACTTCCTGTTTCTTTTGCCACCTTCCCTTTCTTTCTATTCTGCATCTTTTTTTTTCCACTGTTTTTCTTCCTTTCTTTCCTACTCCTTGTCTGGGTTGTTTTATTTCAAGCATTCATCATCCATTGACTGTTTGAAAAATCCTGTAAATTTGATTTTACAAGGTGAAAATGATCATTTACATAATGGTATCTTAATTCTGATTGTATGATATATATATATATATCTGACTGATAAGTTTTATCTGTTCCCATTTTCTTGTGAAATTTCTCAGTTGGTAAATGAGTTGGAATAAAACTGGAACAGTGTTCTGAAGAAATTGTCCAGAGTTCAAGGTGTTTTTGATGTTCATATGACAGTCACTGGCCATTATCAAGAATGTTTAGAATATGTTAGCAATTTACAATTCAGAAAACTTCTGATTAATTTTTATCCTGACATTTTAGTAATGTTATAATTTCATATTTATGTGTTATTGCATGCAAGAGATGTAATGTCTAAAATATTTTTAACTATAATTCTGTATGTTGCATTTTTAGATTAAAGAAAAAAAAATCAGTGTGTTAGCTTCACATAATGACTAAGTTTTTGAATTTTAAACACATTTTAAAATGCAATCTACTATGGCAAAAGATATTATGTTTAATGTTGATTGTTTTATTCTTCAAAAATCTTTAGTTTTTCATGACACGTAGTTGCAATTTCTGTTGAGTTCCATTATAATCACTTACATGGAAATACCCTGGGGAAAGGTATTAATCTACCTTTCTCCCAGCAGCTATGGGTTAATTAGTAAAACTTGTATCATTGGATTATTATTGGCTCCAAAAAGAGATTCTTACAATCTAAAATATTTTCTGACTTTAAATAGCCTGAAAAGTGTTGACAAGCTGTAAAAAAGAAATGAATCATTACTAAAAAAATGTATTTGTGTCATGATTATAATCATATTTTGGTTTCTTCTGTTGATAAATATGTGTATGCATAGTCTTAAGCTTTGTCAGATGTCATGTTAATTGATGAGATAATGTGGTAATTGCATGGCCAATAAAAACTTTGTCATAATCGAAAAATTAAGTTTGATATTGTTTTGATTATGAATTTTCCAGATGACATGTTGTCTCTGAAGCATGTGATGCTTTCTTTGTTTTTTTTTTTTTAATGCTTTCTCTTCTTTTGTGGCTCTGAATGAACAGTGGCGGAAATGCAACAACAAATTTTCATCTTAAGGAAAATAGAAGTCAATAAAATTGTGCTCCACAAGATAAAGATTCACATTTGGTTGTCCTTGTTTTATTTTTCGGTTTAATCTTTTGCTCTCCTCTCTCTTCTGAGTTGTACAAATATTTCTGTTTTCTCAACATGTAATTCCACAGCTAAATTTGACATTCTTGACCAAATTTTGAAGATTCTGCCCATAACTTTTTCTATCTTTTCTGCATTTCAGTTGTGGGAAGGTATGCACTATATGCGCAGGAAGAGTGGGGGTAGCATCCCCCACCACTGTCAGATTGTTCCAGTTTTGGGTCCACGAGGGTAAGTCACACTATCAGATATCAACCATCTAAAGAAAAGTGTTACAAAAAAAGAAAAAAAAAATTTTTTCTCTCTTGTCCCATGATTCAGCATCTGGAAAACGTTTGACACTTCATAATTCTCATGTTGTCAACAGGGAAATTACTACCTCTGTCCCATTATAGTTGTTACATTTAGTATATGAAATGGATGTGCAGATGTTGCAAATATTATGGGACAGTACTTTTATTGTCTTAATGACAATAGTTTATTTTTTAATTGTAATAAATTTAATCAAGTATTTTAAATTTGTTTATTATTAAACTCCTTCATCTAGGGTTGGATTCATCATATATGATATATGCAGTGTGTGTATACATATATATATATATATATATATATATATATATATATATATATATATATATATATATATATACTCAACTCCCTCATTGATTTGATGTATGAGGGTCAAGCAGATCAGTTCTGAGGAACCAACAGCTCAACACCAGCACATGAGATTTGATTATAGTGATGAAGGTTTTGTGCAGAGCCTTCCATACTTTTTGAAGGGCCTAATACAGAGACCTGGTGCACTACATGCCACAAGGTCGCCAAATGATCTTCTGCAGGTTTTAAATGCATGGTTTTTGAGGCACAGTGGAGTAATGGTTAACAGCTTGGATTGAAGAATCTGAGAGCCAAGTTCGAATTCCAGTCAAATCCATAAGATTCACTTACATGCTAATACCCTTGGGAAAGGTATGAATCCTCTTCTCCCACCAGCTATGGGTAAATAGCAGGACAGACTGGGTTCTGTAGTCTTGGATGGCAACTGGTCTAGGAGAAGGACAACTTTGAATATAAATATATATATATATATATATATATATATATATATATATATATATATATACATAAAAGTTTGTCCCTTAGCTGATTGATGTTACTTTCAGCATCTGGACTCCAGAATTTCATAGGTGAACTTGTCCAACCACTTTTCACTGGGTATCAGCAATATATATATATATATATATATATATATATATATATATATATATATATATATATATATATATACAACACATACACACACAGAGGTTTCACAGTTAAATCAATATTTTCATAGCCTAATGATAAAAAATTATCTTTTCTTTTACATAGAAAATATTTTCAACATAATATCATTATTGTTAGTGAATTATTTCACAGCTTGATCTTGTGAATCATTGAAAATTTCATATTAAAATTTGGCAAATAAGTTTATGTAAGGCTACAAACTTATTGATGCAACCTTATTGATAAATTATTTATTTATATGCATGCAGTTACATCTATAAATGCATCAATGTAGATTAATTGAAGCTCTCTAGTATGTAACTTAATTACTTTTGTCTTTGTTATGCAAGAAATTAACTACTTTTTTACCACCTAATGTGTATATCTCGCATTGTATAATCCTATATAATATACTTACTTTCACACCTGTATATGTGTATATAAAATTCTAACAAAAAAAGCTCAGCCAAAGAAAAATGTTTATGCATCTATATGAAAACTTTTGGCAATATGTACAAAGTTCAAGTTTTTGCTACTCTATAATGAAGATATTGACATTCCACACTACTTCAAACAAAATGTTAGGAAGGAAACCCCCATCAATACTGAAAAGAATGATAACAGCTACTGGACTTGAGAAACCTATTTACCTGAAAAATTGTTTTAAGAGAAAGTTTTCATAAATTACAAGTGAAAACAGTACTGGCTGCTTGGTCAATGAATGCCAAATATTTCCTTATAGGAATGAAGATCAACTGATGTTGAGTACACTTCCCTCTTTACAAATTTTAAATTTATATTAATCATTCACACACAATTATATATATATATATATAAGTTTCCAATCAGGACTTGATGATTCCATCAAGCACATGAAACTAGTGTTGTACTAGTCATGATGGGAAAAATGTATGTGACATGTTATATTTGTATTAATACTCTCTCTTTATGTGATCTCCTCTCTTTTTATTCTTTTAAAAGGGCTGATAAGCCATGAAAAAAAATCAACCCCCTTCCTGTTTTCATGTGTACTGATTTCTCTCTCTGTATCAGATTTATGCTACACTTTTTTGTTGGAATATCTACATGATGAGATTTCTCTTCCTGTTAATAAAAGAAAGAGCCCTTGGGAAATATCTATTTTTCCTAATTTTGCCTTTGCCAGTTCCTCACGGGACTAGAATGTCTGTTTCACTCGATTCCTCATCATCTGAAAACCAGTCTAATCTAGCTTTCTCAGCTCAAAATCTATTGATCCATGTTTATCATTGGCTTTTTTTCTTATTTTTATTATCAATCAACTAAAAGCCGCTCATAGACAGCACAATGGTTACACTTCTGGAATAAAGACCTGCTATTTCAGCCTGAACTGATGAGTTAAGTGTGTATAAAAACCATAATTATTTGTAAAATAAAAATCTCTTGTTCAAAGTTTTGTGGATAGGAGTATTAAAGTCCAAGTATAATACAGTTTATACAGTATTCTTTCTTCATCTGTCTATATTTCTGAAATGAGGTATTGTAACTATTTACACTATTTACACTCTTTGGATTATTGTCCTCATCTTTATTGCCATGCTCGTGATGTTCCGGCCATTGTATATGGCCTTCTTCAGGTGATAGCTGTTAGAATTTCAAATTGAACCCTTTATTAAGCTTTATTTTCCACCCTCCAACCTTTCTCTCACAGGTGAGATGTGGCAAGCCTCTCACTGCTCTATTGCTACTTCCATGGAAAGTGCTCAGATGAACTACATTCCTTCATTCTGCCACATCTAACCTTCATGGCTAGCACCTGCCATGCCATTTACATTGTATCAAACCATCCACATTCCCTCTGTATTCTATCAGTGAGGAAAAGCTTCTTCTCATGAACCACTGTTCTGGGGTATAGACTCCCAAGAGGATGCTTCCCTGATCACTACAATCTTAATCTGTTCAAGTCTAGAGTAATCATTATCTTCCCCTGTTCAAGTCTAGAGTTAACCATTATCTTACCCTCCTGTCCATATAAACTATCCCTTAACATAATTCTCTTTCTCAAGTAGCCCTAAGGACTTGTACAGGGTGAATTTTACTATTAAAAAAAAGTCCACAGGGATAGATTGTACAATAGCTGGAATATTGTGAATATGGCAATAATGCTGAGGACAACAGTGTGAACAATGTGAAGTGTAAATAGTATTCTTCCTTATTTACATTATTGACATTCAAACTAATATCCTTGTCTTTGTTATTGTTATCACAGTTTCAGCCAGTGTGCTCCAGCCTTCTTAAGGTGTCTGGCAATCCAGGTAATCTTCAGTGAATTCCTGAAATGTTACCCAGATTGGCATTCTTGTGGATATAAGTAATAATTCTTCATCTGAGAAATTAGTAGTCTTTCACTTACCCATGGAGATATATTCTAAGCGATCCATTGATATATGAAAAATGGCAGATGCCACCAATTTCTATATATCATAAAACATTAACTCTAAAAAGAAAACAATAGTAAAATAGAACAATTTAAACAGGTGTAATAAAAGTTATATGATGGATATAAGATTCATTATTACCATAGGTCTTATTAGGCTTACAATGAGAGATTAATAACAATAACTATTAATGAAACAGAACAATAATAACAAATGACTAATAAAGGGTTTGTGATGAATAGAAGGTGGGAGATTCATTCTAACCATTCTTTCTTTTCATGTGCCATGTCCCTTCAGGATGTAGGTGATCATGGCTGTCCACTTCCCCCTATGCCTTGTAGCTCTCAATAAGTTTTGTCCCTTTGCTACTTCCCTCAGGCCATGTTCTGTCATCCACTTGCTTAAACCCGCTAGGTATGCCATGCATTGCTTTCCCTTGTCTCTCTTTCTTTCTATTCGACTGATGAGTATCAGATTCTTCAAACCCTCCTTTGTCATTACGTGTCCCAGAAATTTCAGCTGCCTCTTCCTGATGTTAAGTATAAGCCTCCTCCTTTTTTGCCCTCCTCTCCAAAACCTCATCGTTGCTCACACGCTCGGTCCATGATATCCTCAGCATCCTTCTGTAGAACCATGCCTCAAGTCTCTTCTTCATCTTTGAGGAGACTGTCCAATATTCACTGCTTTAAAGGAGGATAGATGTCAATTAGCAACCTCAATCTAGAAACTATTTCTTTCCTTCTTAAGTGAAGAACTTTCATTTCAAGTACTTTACAGCTCTTTTTTGCCATATTTGAATTGCTAGCGTCTCTGCTCTTGTGCTTTGAGACCATTATCAAATGAAATTTAGGATTTGTTTATTTCTGGAGTTGGCTGTGGATAATTGAAACTGCAGAATAGTAAGTGAAATGATAAAACCAGAAAGTAATTAATATATAAGTAAAACATCCATAGTACTTATTAGTAGTTTAGGAACCAATGCCATGATTTATATACATATTTTAGTTATGCAAAAGAAATAATTAGATTATTTACAATTTCAATTTGTAGTTTATTCATTTGTGAAATTCTATACACTTCATAAAAACAAAGATTTTTAGCTGCTCCACAAAAGACAGTATTTCTTGTAGCCCTATGCCAGACTTGGCTTAGTTCAATAAATATCTACCTTGATACGAAGTTGTTTTTTTAATAGAAAAGTTTTCAAATATTGAAAAATCAAAATACAGATTTATTTTAGTATATTAAATTCTTTACACAATGTGCTGTTAAGAGCATAGAGACAAATAAACCATTGAGGCTTTGTATTTATATATTGGACATGAACAAGAAAAGTTTCTATTTTTGTCATAAGATGGCATTAGGAGTGTTTAGTTTTAACTAACTTCACAAAAAATCACTCTGTATTCTGAAAATTGTCATATCAGCATGCATTTGTTTTAATTTATCAAAATTGGCAAAATTGGGTTTATTTATGCCTCTAATATTGAAAATGAATAAAAATAAGCAATATTTTCAGCATGTTGTTCTTTTCATTTCAAAAAA